AACCATCGTCATAATAATTTAAACCAAGTAAATACTTGGCTATATAAGTATGTTGTATACACTCTAATCGGTCACTGCATTGTCTCGCACATTTTCTATCAATATCATTATTAGTAACGTTTGAAAAATGCGCAAAACTATTAACATGGTCAAAATAAGGGTAAATTATATAATATTCGGGAATTATTGACAATTGATTTAAATATTGTTTAATCTTGCATTCACTCTCGCATTGTCTCAGGTCTTGATTATCAAAACATTTTTTGCTGTGCACTAAATTGTTAAATTTTACAACAAATTTTTGATAGCTGATTAAATAATAAGTAACATTATTAGTGTTGAGCACCATGCCCGTTTTGCGGGAATAGTCCCGTATTCTACCGGAACGGGAATGAATGTAGACTCGAAGCTTCGAACCAATAATTCGCGATCTATTGGTCACTTTGATTGTCATAAATGATGACATTTTTATGTGTGTAGTGTTCACGACATACTTGCTGTCCAATTCATGGTCCCATTGAGATAATATAATCCAGCACATTGCGTTTGGATATCTAATAGCCGTACGATATTTGACTATTGTATTGCATTTTACCATTTTTGTTGTCGTATAAATATGACAATCAACAAAATCGTCAAGTGACACCAATGAGCTTAATAATTAATCAAATTTTTGTTTCATAAATTCACCATAATTAAACGTGATTTGACTGTTTGGGTTCGTATGAACGCCTGTATGTCCGCACATATAGTGAGCGCCGGCGGACTCAACAGTTCCGGTGATTCAAAGCGTATGTTTGTTGTGGTTTCGTATGAAAAGTATATTAAACTTATTTCATACGTTTGGTATAGGAATCCACTCAATAGTAGTGTTTTTAATATAATTTCCTTTATATTTATTTTGGGAAACATTTTGCCTGATTTATTAAATAACTTTTAATTCGGTTCTTTATTAATTAGTAATTAATAATTACCTTATTTTGATATAATTATAATCACAAACTATTAATAATGTCTAATAATTTGTAGAGACAAAATAAAGTATTTTTGCAGTTCTAATCAATAAAATATACTGTTTATTATATTTTAAACATTGTTTCATTAGTATATTTTATTGAATAAAATATTGATTTAATCAAATATGCAATGTTTTTAATATAAAGTAATTATATTAAAATACAATTTTTAATACAATTATATATTTATATGTTTTGTATATTTGCAAAGTATACAAGAACAAAATTACATTTAATGCAATTTAATAACAAACAATAACATTATGCAAATAACATAAAATTGAAAAATTCTATAAAATGTAATATGCATTCTATTGATAATTTTATTTTTATTTTTGTTATGTTTACTTTGTCCTATTAAAGTTCATGTAAATACGTTTTTATGGAAAACTCATTAAAATTAATTCAAATACATTTAGTATTGGAAATACAGATAATTTTACTACCAATCATTTAATTGTTAATATGTATTTGAAGATTTCACTATGACTAAAATGTTGTACACTACTGTACTGCTATACTAAATCTTTTTCAGCTAGGTTATATAATATAATCTTGAGATAAATTAATTATGAATACTTTAAAAGTATAAACAGTAAACACAAGCGTATTATTGGCGTAGATGTGAACCACAGAATCATAACATTCGCTAATCAATAACACAAAAGGGTTTAAATAATAGACAAGTGTTATATACAAGTCAATTGTGGAGTGAGTTTAGACCAGGTATACAGTCTAGGAATAGATTGACCATAGAATAATAGAACGCATTATATCATACACTGGATCGCCTATAAATACCAAGTCTCATTTCATAAATTTACAAACATATTAATTATTGCTTTCTAAGCAGTATTATTGATACAAATTTTTAAATAAATCTATTTTTATTTCTATTTGGCTTTAGTTTAGAAAGATAAATAAATTCAAGTTATTTTATTTTGTAATTACACTTGATTTCACATCGTTGCTTGCAATGAATTAAATATAATTTTATACTTGTGAGTGATTAAATTGTTTACTTTAATTGGACATGTTTATTTAAAATGTTTGGTGCAATACAAGGTCTCTATAAAATTTAATTAAATTGATTATTATATTGATCGTATAATTACAGTTTTGCCCATAAAAAATCTTATCATAGTAAAATACATTTACAGCATTTGTAGGTTTAAATCAAATATCAGTGTATAATATGTTTTGATACTAAAATATTGAGTTAATAATATTTACAGTTAAAAAATCAGTATAAATTAGCCAAAACTTAAATATTAAACATTTATTATATTGTAAAATTATTTTTAATAAACATTAAGTAATTACTTTACAATGAGGTCTTTAGTATTTAATTCAGTGATTTCATTACGATTTTGCATAGGTAAATTATTTATATGTGAATTACTTAATATTCATAGCCATATGTTTCTTATGAACATTTAATTTTACGTATTTAAAAATACTAATTATATTTTCACTATTTAACATGTTAACACTGTGTTAATTACACAAACTAATTTCTATAGAATTTAACTTATTATTTTATATTTATTTAACATTAAATGATTATTTATTTATTCAACAGTTATATCATGTTCACTATTGCCAAATTTTGTTGATGCCAGAAATGCATCATGCCCAAATAACGAACAAATGGAACCATGTAGATGTTTTGCTCGGAATGACAACTATACTGATTGGATTTGCAACTTTAAATACAGCAACTCATCGTTGACCATGCTCACGCCAGTGATGAACAAGATAAAACTATTGCCAATGGAACAGCGCATAATTAATTTTCTATACATAAAGCATAGCAATATAACTGTAATTGACCGGGATACATTTTTGGGCATTAATTTTACCTCGTTTAAAATCAAATACGCACCTGAACTGACTAGTATTGATCAGCAAGCGTTTAGAGGTTTAAAGTTGATGGAATTTAAAATAGTTTACGCACCTATGTTAAATCACGGGCTAAATGGCACTGATATATTTGATATAATCAACACGTTTCCATCAATACGGACCGTTCAATTGGTTAATTGTAATCTAGACCGTATTCCCGCTAACGCATTTGGTGAATTAAACAACCTAGAAGATATTAACATTAGGGGCAACACTATTAAAACAATTGGCGAGCGAGCGTTTTATTTACCACCGAGATTAAAATCGCTCGGTATATGCAATACTCGTATCGACCAGATACCGGCCAATACCATGATGTTTGCGTCGATTGCCCCTGAGCTAATTGTAACATTTTGTGGCAACCAGATGATGAATAGCAGTAGTTTTACGGTAGATTCCCTTGCTCATTTAAATGCTAACGTAACACTTTATTTAAGCAATGATGGTGACAATGAAACATGGACGCATTTTACCGAGAATAATTTTGGGCCCTTTTTTCGAGTCAACCCAAACAATAAATTGCATTTATTTAAATCTGTTATTGATTGTAACGATAAACGAAACGATTGGTTTACATTTGATGATAGTATAATGAGCCGCATATATCAAGAATTTAACTATGTTGATAAACAATGGCATCATCCCAACTGCACCCTTTTGAATTAAATAAATATATAAATGATAATTAAATCTATTTATATANTAAATCTGTTATTGATTGTAACGATAAACGAAACGATTGGTTTACATTTGATGATAGTATAATGAGCCGCATATATCAAGAATTTAACTATGTTGATAAACAATGGCATCATCCCAACTGCACCCTTTTGAATTAAATAAATATATAAATGATAATTAAATCTATTTATATATACATCCTTAACACATTGAATTGACTTAAATACCAATTTTTTAAATGCAAATTAAAATTATTTTATTAAAAAAATTAATTAAATAATAACTATATTTAATACATAGACTAATTAAAACATTATGGTGTAATAGAAGTTATATCAATATTTAAAGAACAAAAGGCATTTGGGTCAAATGTGTCAGATCTTGGATAAGTTGTTGAATATTTTGCTGTCTGAGCGCAGCTGAGGGCAAATTACCGATCGCTTCATTCAATTTGTTGAATTCGGGCGTTAAAAAGGCAATGAGCTAGAAATAAATAAATAATATTATCGTTAATTAAAATAACAAATATTTTACAAAATAAAGTTATTTAAATAAAACATATACAACTCACCTTATCGTACCAGGCATTTAAAACGGGGTGATTTTGCAACAATCTCATACCCCCAACCTTTGACTTCTCGACGGCGGCCAACACTCGACTCTCCATTGTTTTCAATCGGTTGATAAGGTTGTGCTCATTGCCGGTGACCGACAGGGGCTTAACGGCCCGCAGTTCAGACACGTGTTCCAACATATATGTGAAATCATAAAACTGACCAACAAGCACCTGGGTCACCGTGTGTTGTTCAATGGGATTTTGAATCTTGTCACATTCGGCGAATACTGTTGGAACGATTGGTCTGAGTGAATCGATACAATCTTGGTAGAACTGTGCCACCACGGTTAAACCCTGCTTGTTATCTTGTTCAATTACTGGCCGTAAGGTGCCCTGCGCTTTATCGGCCAGATTATTGACAAACATCTCGATCTCTTTGACGTGAATCTGTTCATTAAATACGTGCGGGAAGTCGAGGGGTGGGAGTTCTGGCATACATTGCACTGTATAAACGTCGTTAATTAATTAGTTATTAAATTATCCACAAAGAGAGAGAGAGAGAGAGAGAGAGAGAGAGAGAGAGAGATTAAAGAAAATAGATTTTATTAACTTACCGTTAGAAAAAACAACAGCAAAAACTATGCATACAATGAATTGTTGACTTTTTATTAATAACATTGTATTTTTAAACTTTAATTTAGTTTGAATTTAAAACTAAAAGTTTTATAATGTGGATTATATTTAATTGGATTAGATATAAAAAGCAATTGTATTTATACAATTATTATAAGCACATTATGTAGTAATTAACACATTGAAATGTACTAGTCATATTTTAATAAATGAGTTTGTTGTGCAAATCCAATCAAATTTTGCACTTAATAATTTATTTATATAAAATTACAAAATTACATTGTACAAAATTAATGTCGTTATATACAGGTATACTTTCTAATTTACTATGATATTTTTAATGTTTTAATATGATTTATATAAAACATATTAATATTTAAAGTACTATCATAAATCAATACTTGTATGTGTTTTCTGTCAAGCTAGAAAACTCTATTATAACCGATAGTTAATAACACTACTTTATATTATTATTGTCTTTACTACATATACATATGCTATGGCTAAGTTAATTATAATGTAATTATACGTTTTTTTAAAATTAATGGTTTTCAAGAAATTTATCAAGTTAAAAAATTTATTTATGTTAAAGTCGCACATAGATTTTTTCATAATTAATTTAATAATGAAAGTAGTATCCTGTACTTACTAGTGCATCTGTTGGTTGTCATTTTCATTAATTATAATTGGCGAATCTACCATCATTGATGGTCCATCAATAATATTTGATGTGACAAAATAAAAGTATATAAATCTATGGATTTTATAAAGACTTTATCACAGTTATTTAGGAGCAAATTAAATTACCTAAATTACATATATAAAAATGAATTCACTAATCACAATCGTGTTTGGCATTTGCCTGATTATAGTGCAGGGTAAAATACAGCACAAATATTTACTTGTAATTATAATTTTAATGCAAAACATTTTTATCATTCAGTGATTGCGGAGGAAAACCCCATCGATTACGGAGAACAGGCCAACACCGATGCCGTCCAACTGAGAGTATATAACCTCGTGTTACCCATCGGTACTATAATGGATGCGGCAGAGAAACGGTACAAAAAACAGGGCCTGACTGTACCCATCAAATTGTATGATGACGTTAAGGAGTTTGCGATGACAACTATTCCCTGGATTTTTGAACAGTTCAAAGCCGTAACCAATGAGAGTGTTAGAGAGCGAGTGACCGCACAATTTGTCGGTGAAGTTCACGGATTTAATTACCTGAGCAAACGGTTGGACAAAATCCGTTTGAGCACACCGTTGAATATTACAGGGTCGTCCGAGAACCTGCTTGGTAGAATTAAAGCGCTGGAAGGTTTTATGCATTTTTCATTGGACGATGAGATTGCAAATGCTAGTCATCCCGTTTGGACAGCATTTCATTCCAGGGTAATTTAATATTTATGATCCTAACATATAATTTAACAGTTATTATCAAGGCAATACTTTATTATTAGTTTTGTATTCTAATTAACTAGATAAAGGAATTTATGACTGCTGAATTCCCGAAATTGTACAAGGCCATTGATAAAATACCATTTGAAGAGGCTAAACAGGCCAACCTTCAAGTCCTGATCCAGGATCTCTCACACGCCGTGATCCCACCTTTATAAATTACAAATTATTGTATTTAATAATAGACTAATTAAAACATTTTTAATTTAATAAAATTTTTGATCATTTTAAGCATGGGTGTTTTGGTTACTTGGTTTATTAACTAAAGTCATCATTAATTTCGAATATATTGATATATACAATTTTGATCAGCAAAATTGTTTAATTAATCAATTTTTTATAAAGTATAATGTGTATACAATTAAACATGATCTATGTGAAGTTCATAAGTTTTGTGAACTAAGCATTTGTGTGAACCAAATCGCAAAACATAAACCTATGCCATTTAGACATAATGTTAAAAAACATTGTGTAAACATGGATTGTGTGAACAAATTGCAGTTAAAATTATGTGGAATTTAACGCATTTCACAATGAGTTGTGTGAATCACACAAAATAATAAATTCATTAATTCTTATTATAAGAATAGCGGACAAATAAATAAACATCATTTTAACTAATAAACAACACAATGAATCTAAGGTTACTATCATTGCAGATACATTAATGTCGGAATTTATTCAAACGGTAACAATTTTGTTTTTTACATAAAACAATTGTATAAATAATACATAAAACATTTGTTTGATATGCAAATTAAATTTATTAAAAATGTTTTAATTAGTCAATTATTAAATAAGATAAGTTATAATTTATGGCTTAAAGAGGTGGAACCAATGCGTGCGATAGATCAGCGACAAGCAACTGAAGATTTTTCTGTTTAGCTTCATCAAATGGTAGTTTATCGATGAGCTTGTACAGTTTGGGAAATTCAGCAACAAAAAATGCTTTCAACTATTTAATTAGAAAATAATATTAAAGTTATTTAAAATAATAATTTTTTTGTTATAAATTGTATATTATATAAATTTATATAATTAGATAAACAATTATAAATACAAATTACCTTGGCATGAAATTTAGTATGCACTGAATGCGATGCATTGGCTATTTCATCGTCTAACGAGCCATATATAAAGTTCTCTATGGCCTTAATTCTACCAAGCAGATTCTCAGATGTGCCTGTTACGTTCAATGGTGTACTCAAACGTTGTTTATCCAAACGATTACTCATATGATTCAATCCGTGGATTTCGCCGATGTATTGTGCGGTCACTCGGTTTCTATCCGTAAAGTTTGCGATCCCTTTAACTTCGTTGAAAAGCCAGGGAATAGTATCGATGGCATACTCTCTGAGATCTTTATACAACTCTATGGGTACAGTCAAACCCTGCTTTTTGTACCGTTTTTCTGCCGCTATCATCATCTGTGAGACCGGCATTAGGAGGTTATATGCTCTTAGATTCATGGCATCGGTGTTCGCCTCTTCCCCGTAATCGATAGCATTTTCCTCCGAAATCACTAATAAAATGGTAAATTTTATTTTTAATGTTATTATAAATAAGCATTCATGTTATATTTTACCTTGCACGAAAATCAAGCTCAGGCCAAAAGCAAGTGTGATTATTGAATTCATATTTTTTGCTAATTTACTGTAATTTAGCTAAAAATGTTATCCAAATGAATTGTTTTGAATTTTGTTTAAACTCGTCAGTTTATATACACTTTTGTTATTATGTTACTTATTATAAACAATGCTAAATTCTAGCTAATTATAATTAATTGCAAATCCACGGCGAGATCTTGACAAGTACACTTGCTAAAACAGGATTTTATTGTGTTACTTGTATTACAAAATTAATTACTTTTATTTTTCAATATCTTATTCCTAAGTACATTGTTTACAACATGTTTAATTCATAATATGAATTGTTACCAGAAAATAATAAGTTTCAATAAACTTGCTAAATATATCATTATAGTTAAATGTATAAGTTAAGTATAAATTATAATAATAATATTAATTAATTGAAGATTTAAATTATTTATACATATTATTTGCAATAGAAGTATTGTCATTAATGAATTAACTGAACTGATTTTAATAAATTTTTTAAATGTAACCAATTTAGTAAATAACAATTTAAAAAATTAGGTGAACTTATTTTTGCTATAAAAAAACAAAGTGTTTATTGCAATAATTAATTTGTTCAATCAACCGTGCACATGTGTTCAATTAATCAAATCGAAATATGACAATTTTTAATTTTAAACATAGATTGCAACGCTCATCAATGTTGGTATAAATATTGGTGATGTTTAAGCAAATTGTTATACACTTTATTTAATAACTATAAATCTACATTAAATCTACACAAAACATTTTGAAAATAATGTTTGCCTTTAAATTTATTTGTGTTGTAGTTGCTATCGGTTTAATCAACGGTAAGTTCTCTCTCTCTCTCTCCAATGCCTTCAATCGGTTGATAAGGTTGTGCTCATTGCCGGTGACCGACAGGGGCTTAACGGCCCGCAGTTCGGACAAACGCTCGATCATGATGGTAAGATCATAAAATTGGCTCATCACAG